TTTGCCTGCCATCCACTTGTCCAGTCAGATGTTGCATCTCACAATAAAAACAGTTTCTGTTGCTTGCCGCAACTCAAACTGCACCACTGCTGCTCCTCCAACAGGTGCTGCACCTTCTGTGTAGCAGGCGCCCTTCCCATTTCTTCACCCAGACTGTTAGAAGGGCAAGTTCTCAAGGGCAGTGATTTTCAACAATTAATCTTTCCTGCCTCGTGAGGGTTATGTGAGAGTGTGCGAGTGGGGGCATGGAGAATAATGCGATGACCGTGGCTACCGGGCGGGGCCCCTGCACTGACCATGCTTAGAGTGCCAGCAGTTTTCCCTGACGCTGGCTTTGGACCAGCGCCACAAATGCCGACAGTGAAAACAGAAATGGCACCTTAGTATCACTGCACTGTGAGAATAATTTTCCCTCACCAGCCTCCAGGAAGAATCTCAGGGACCCTGAAGATCCATGAACCATGGCTTGGGAATCACTGGCAGATCACTTCTGGAAGGAAAGAGGTCACCTCAGAGAAAGGCCAACACTGAAAGAGCCTCATCTATCCTACACTTCCTTTGAACTCTTCAATTTCTCTGCGGTGTGTGTATATTACTTTTACAACACTGTACAAGGCCTATGATCAATGAAAAAAAAAAAGCTAATCCTGACCTTTGACAGTTAGAAAATTACCTAGCAGCCAATGGGCACTCAGTAATAACTGAATTAAAGCACATATACAATAAACACCAAAAAAAGGCCAAAACTCCAGAGGGCACAAGTGTAGTGGAAATTCTAAGAAAATTTCACATCAGAGAGGACTAGGGAGGGTTCAGAATAAGGTGTTTAGGCTGGACTTTACAGATGAGCAGAGTTTGGACATCAGAACTTTCACATTTCACAAAATATTTAGGAAGCACAACAAATGTCTGCTAACCTGAAGGCAATGTCAGGCTGTCATTTTAAAAACTAAGAATCAGGGCTGGGGATGTAGCTCTGTGGTGCTGCTGCCTGCCTTGAAAGCGCAAGGTCCAGAGTTCGATCCCTGGTACCAAGAAAAACCCCTAAGAATCACATTGTAGATTTTAGAAAGTAAAGACAGATAAAAAGATAAAACATTTCTTGAAAGAGGTCCCTTCCAACACAAGTACAAACTAAATTTTTCAACCACTTTTCATCTGACTCCATCCAGGCCATCCCTACTTTATCAGAATGCAGAAAACGAAGAAACAGACCTAAGTTAAAGCTTGGTCCATTCAGACCCACTAACCAGAATAAAGATGCAGGAGTGGGACAAATGGAGCCCACTGTCAGAGCATTTCCTCTCAAACTCGCTGCAGGTCACTACAACAAAGAACAAACTTTACATCACTGTCCACGTTTTCAAAGCAGTTCCGCAGCCATAACTTCAAGATACTGTAGGGCATGTGTGTGCCAAACTCAGCTGTGAGGTGTGTCCAAGGCATTTTTTACAATCATAGGTAGAGCACAAAGGGAATTGTGAATTCTTGTAAATTGAGACTTCTTAAAAAAAAGGAAAGCCATACTTCTGGGAACCTCCCTTTCACCCATGAACATTCTGAGTGTCTTAGGAGCCACTGTACAAATTCCTCGGGTTGGGGCATGTCTAAGCAAGAGTGCTCTTCTGTGCAGCTCTACCCATTCCCCTCATCTTAATCTGATGGAGATCCTAAACCAACAAAGGTGAACTAGGCAGGAAAATGAAGGGGCAAGAAAACAGCTCTGTGAGATCACCCTCTTGGGACTCTACAATAAAAACTCAGCAGATCCTCCCTACTGGAGGAAACCAGGGCATCCTAAAACCAGAGGCTTCCCTGAGGGCCAACCTCAGTTACAATGGTTGACAGTGATAAGGAAATAATGCACAACAGGGCAGGCCTTTGTCTGCCACCAAGCCCCCAACCCCATGTTTTAGCCAAAAGATGTTCTGTTCAAGCAATGTAACTGAGCTGCATGACGCTCCTATCTAACATCTCAGATGTTCTGTTGACTCCACCCTTCCACTTCTGTGAGCATGCGCCCCGGCACGTGGGCCGACTCTCTACCCCACAGAGCTCTGTAGAAGGTTGCTGCCACTTCTTGGTTCCTTCCATCTCTCCGAGTGCCACCCTTGGTTTCCTTGCCTCTGGAAACCTTTGGAGACCTGTAACACTTGGCTGTAATGCTGAGCTGTTGCAATGAGGATGCTGGAGAGCAAGGACATGTGTAAGTTATGAACGAGGCAGGGACAGTTCCAGCTGTCCACTTGTGGAGTGCTGAGGGGACGGCACGCAGGACTGTCCAGGTTACCTGAGCATCTCGCACCACCAGTCCCCAAGAAGGCAGCATCTTGTCTGCGGTAAGCTGCCCCGCTCTCCTCTAACCTATCCAGCAGGGACAACCCCAAGATGTGAGTGCTATCCAGAAGCTACCCTTTTCTGACAAGACTTTATTCTGAACTAGACAGTTTATCTCTCCACCCCTGAATATGGAAAGGCCAAGGTCACAGGACAGAGAGTAAGTCCCACTTTTTACAACCTCTGCTTGGTCAAAATATAAAAATAATGATGACAAAATACTACTTCAATTGGCTTAAGACTATAGTTCCTTATTAATATACTCCTTTAATTTATAAATAAAACACATTACTAGTTTTTTGTTTTGAGATTTTATTTTGTTTTTGAGATAGGGTCTCACTATGTAGTCCAGGCTGGCCTTGAACTTACGGCAATCTTCCAACCTCAGCCTCCTGAGTGCTGGGATTACAGGTGTGTGCCAGCAAGCTGGCAAGGTTCAAAGCATTCATGTACTGAGTGAATCTTTACAAGAGCCTTGAAATGTCAATAAGGCTGATGTTCACCTCCTTTTATAGCTGATCAAACCCAACTTTTGAGGTGTCATATTTCAGTGGAGATTCTGAAGACACTCATTAGATGCCAGCCACTGTGTGAAGATCCCAAAATTCCACTTAAGACATGGTCCCTTTTGCTAGACATCTCCACATCCAACAGGGGAGGGCCCATGTCAACAACAACCACAACACAACTGCAGAGGCCAGCATTACAGGTGTGGAAGTGCCCTGGGAGCAGGGCCAAGCATGACTGTGCCTAATTGCTGACCTATTTTGGCCAAAAGAAAGGTGGCAGGCCAGTCTAGGAGAGGAGAAAGGAGCCAGGCTGCTGCCTCCTTGCCTGCCACTGCACTCTGACGTCTCTTTGCTTTAACACATCGCCACCCACCCCCTTCTCAGCTTAAGCTACTTTTTCAGGTTCCTCTCCATGATATATGATCTTATTCCCTTTTCTTACCTATACAACCCCGACATATTTGTCCAAACTGGCAATATAAATGGATCCAATAAATAAGTATATTTAAGAAATATTTTTATGAAAGTATTTGTGTTCTGTCACACAAATTAAAAAATTTTTCGAAAAAAGGAAATAATTTAGTTAACTGTCAACTCCTAACAAATATTCAAACAGAGCAAGGAACTGAGCAAACAATGAATATAATAGAGCAGAAATTAGGAACAATCTGCAAAAACACATTTGACATGTGAAAAAGCTAAACTATAACTATATGATTCTCCCTGGATGAAGAGCTTTAACAAATCCATACGGTAGAGCCAGAATCATTCCTAATTTTAGACTTTCCAAGAGTATCTAATCACCAAGAATTCTCAAATCCACTCATTTTAACAGCTCTTCCACTTTTTAAAATGTGTCACATATCCCCAAAATTTGAATGGTGAATTCAAAACAGTTGCAAGCAGATGTCAAATTTTGTGTATTATGTGGCCCTGCGTGAGGCACCACAAAGATAATAGCATCCACCTCCCTAAAGTCAGTAAAATTACATGAGTTAATATATGAGAATGCCTATTTAAGTAGGTGTTATTTTTGTTTTTTCCAGAACCAGGGATCGAACTCAGGACCTTGCATTTGCCAGACAGGTGTGGTGCCTCTGAGCTACATCCCCAGCCCTTAGGTTTGTTTTATTTATTTATTTATTTACTTACTTACTTACTTACTTACTTATTGGTACTGGGGATCAAACTCGGGTCCTTGAGCTTGCACAGCAGGCAGTGAAACCACTGAGCTAAATCCCTGGCCCTAGGTAGGTTTTATTTTAAGAATTCACTACCCCAACCCCAGAAAAACAAACCAATTAAAAACTTACAGCAAATATAGGGTTATGAAAATATGGATTCTAAAAGCTGAAAATGCATTTAAGTCCCCAAAACACATACAGGTTTTTCTTGGAGGGCCACAAGGCCTTCCGGATCCTGAAGAATTTACTCTACTCCAGCAACAGCTGAATGGACTATCAAGACCCTGCCCTAGGGTAGAGCAATTGGTAGACCTCCTAAGCCTAATTACCCAGAGTCTACAGTTATCCATCAGACAACCATTTACGGGGCTTAACTTTTGAAAATTCCACAAAGGGGGATATCCTCCTAAGTGTTAAGCACTTTGCATACATAGTATTCAGCCACTTCAGCCTCAAAATCCTGAAAGAAAGTGCTGTTATCCCCATTTCACAGGTGAGGCAGCTGAGGCCCAGGGGTGCAGAATCGTTTCCAGGGCTGGGGCTGGAAGGTGCACCTAGGGAGGCGCGCAGCCCTTGCAAAGTGCAGGGCCTGGGGCAGATGCCTGGGGGGCGGGGGGGGGCACTTCGGCTGAGACTCTGGTACTGTGAGGCCGGAGGGCCTGGCAGGGTCCCGGGTGAACGGCTCTGGGTCCTGGGTGAGCTGTTCCGGGATCCCAAGTGCGGGGCTAGAAGCTCCTGGATGGGGGGTTGTGGGGTTCCCGGGGGTCCTGGGTGAGGGGTTCCGGGGTCCCAAGCGAGGGTGCGGGGGGGGGGGGCTGAGTAAGGAGTTGAGGGACTCCCGGTATCCAGGGTGAGGGGTTCCGGAGGTCCGGGGTGAGAGGTCCTGGGGGCGTCTAGAGTGGGGATCTCATGCGGGGCGGGGTTCCGGGTATGAGGTCCCAGGTGGGGTCCTGCGGCCGCCCGCGCTCACCTTCCGACAGCTCCAGCTCCAGCTCGGCCAGGCTCTCGCGCACCTCGGCGGGCAGCGGCGGCGCCTCCAGAGGGTACCCGCGGTCGGTCATGGCCAGGCCGTGCGGGTGGCCGGCGACGCGCTCCCCGAGGCCTGCAGACCCGCGTCCGCCCGGCAGCCGGCGGCGGGAGGGGCGCGGCCCGAGCGGCTCCGCACAGGCGCGAGCACGAGAGCGGGCAGCTCCTCCGCGCCTCCCCGTCCCGCGCGCTCCCGCCCGCCGTACTCGGGAGCGCGGCGCGGGAGGGCGGGTTCGGAGCGCGTGCGCGCCGCGGGCCTCGGGCCGTCTGGACTCCCGGCCCCGCCCAGCAACACGAAAGCTCGCCGCCATTGGGCGAGGCGGGAGAGCGTCCTTCCCGGCAGGCCTCGCGAGGGCGGCCTGCGTGGGATGCTGCGGGTCGGGCGCGACTCCCGGCCGGTTGATGGCGAGGCCTCAGCGACAACTCCGCGCGCCCAGGCGGCCGCCGCGCTTGCCCGCCCTCTGCAGCCTTGCTCTGGGGAGCGTAGCGAGCGTGGGCGCCCTCGGGCGTTCACCCCAGCTCGAGGGTGTGCGCTCTGACCGCAAAGGACCGGGCGAGGCGGGAATACGCTCGCTATGTGGAGGCGCGGCGAGGAGAGCTTGGATTCCTGAAGGAGCTGTTCGCGGGTGCGGGCAAGGTGAGGTCAGAGGACTGCGGTGGCCTCAGAGCCTTGCCAAACGCGTGTCCGGGGGCATCCACGCGCGCAGCCCTTTGGGCCGGACAGAAAACCTCCATGAGCAGCGTTTGCTCCGGAGCCCCATACCTTTTACCTCCTCTCCAATCTTGCTTCCTTCCCCTTCCATTCCTTCACGGGTGTTGATACCAGGTAAACAACCTGTACTTAAACTCCATCTCCGCACCTGCTTCTGGAGAAACGCTTAAAGCCAGTGATGTCGGGTTTCATACTGCATCACAGACCAGTGGTGAGGCAGGGGGATGAACCAACGAGGTAGAGTACACTAATAATCGGAATATTGGACATTTCACGTATAGTAAAAATAACTATAAGGAAAGATAATAGGACTAGCTTGCCTGTCACCACTGAACCTTGAATAAATAATGGACATTGGAGCCTGCCCATGTGACTCATTTCTAGCACCTACCCATACAACCTGGACGCGACAAAATTATGGTTATTTCTCACTGTAATTCAGGTGGAAATATTGAGAGAAGGGACTCCTCCACAACCCTACCCCCAATTAGTTTCCTAGGCTGCAGCAACAGTACTATAAACTGGACAGTTTGACAAAAATTTATTATCTCAAGTTCTGGAGGCCAGAACTCTGAGATCAAGATGTTGGGCAGGGTGACTTCCATCTAAAGGCTGTGATGGAGAATCTTCTCCATGCCTCTCCTAGCCTCAGGCGGCATTTGATGTTCCTTAGCTTATAGATGCCTTTTCCCAATTTCTGCCTTGATCAGTGTGCCTGCATGCCTGTGCCCAAATTTTCACTTTTGAAAAAATAAAGACACAGTCATTCTGGACATGGATGCACTTTGAGGAGTTCATTTTATTTTATTTTATTTTGGTACCAGGGATCAAACTCAGAACCTTACGCTTGGGAGGCAGGCGGCAGAACCACTGAGCTAAATCCCCAGCCGAGTTCATTTTAATTTGATCATCTGCAAAGACTCACTTCCAAGTAAGGTCACTTTCACAAGTACTGAGAGTTAGGTCATAACATTTTGAGGAGAGCATAATTCAGCCACTAACAAGCTGTAAAACCCACCACCCAACAAAACAACAAAACATGTACTAGCATGTTGAGAAATTTATGTGGGGCTGCATTGTGAGGCTGCATTATGAAGCTTCCCTGATGAAGGGAGCTAGAAGGTAAAAATTGCATAGTACAGTTTATTGACATAACAATCTTAAAAGATAAGAGATTTAACACCCTGGCATTGACCACTGAGGCATCCTGGAGAATGATTAACATTGTTCCTTTAGTCAGTGATAATCAGCCAGATGAGCAAGAAGTGGAGAAGATTCTGGAAACCTTAGTAATAACTAATATGCTCCAAAAAGGGAGATAAACCCTATGAAAATTAGGTGTGTACTAGATCCTCTTAGCTAGTGGTTGGGTGCTGTAAGGGATCTCTTCCAAAGGCAAAATTTTTGCATCTTGCTCTTCCTGCCATTAAGGAAACAACGTTTGATGATTCTTGATCCGGTTCCTGCCTCAAGTTTGGAAGGTAGAGTATTCTACACCTTGGAATACTATTACCTTGGCTTAATTGGGGCAGGGAGTTGGGGGAATGTTAGGAGGAAAGGGATAGAAACTCAATTTTGAAAAGCACCCAGAACAGGAAAAATATCTGCAGTTGATCTGTGTTGCATTCAGTTTTGTTGCCTGAGTATATGGTCGAGCAGATATCAGTGGTTATCAGTGGTGGGGAATGATGCATTGTGGAGTTTCTAGCATGATCCAGTGGAATAGTGATGTTCTACTGAATCTTAAGAGATTATAGAGAATCGCCACACTCGGAGCCAAATTTGAGTCCTATTTTTGCCTGCGATCAAGAGCAGCTCATGCTCAAAAACTCGGCGACAAAAAGGGGCTTGTGGGTTTCTTTTAAGCGGCTCTTCTGGTTGGGGAGGGCTCATGGACGGGGAACACAAGCAGAATTTCACAGGAGCAGAACTTTGCTGAGTTAGTAGGGCTCGGGACATTTCACACAGTTTAGTTGAAATGAAATATCGCACAGGTGGGCTTGGGGTTTAGCTCAGTGGTTCCACCTCCTGCCTCACAAGCACAAAGTCCCCAGTACTCCCCCAAAAGTTACAGGTACAGAGTATTCTGTTCACAAGGTCATAAAGATAACATAGTTGCAGACTGCTTTACCACATGGGATGTGGTGGCATCAACCAAGGGACTCCCAAGGGGGTAGGGGGAGGTGACCACCTGGAAGCACTCAACTTTATATAAAATGGGAACGATGGCACAAAATGGAGTCAGGTTGGCTATCACAGTGATAATGAAGGGATCCGAGGTTTCTGTCATGCCACCTAGGGCAAAGAATTAGATGCTTCTGAGGGGGTTTTACACACACACACACACACACACACACACACAGAGCTCTGATCAAGGTGGAACACCTGACTATAAGACACCAAGTGACTGTGCAGCCAAAATTGTTCCTTATGAATTTAACTCACCAGCTCATTGGGCCAGTTGGAGCCAGCAACATCTCCATGAGGTGGAAGTGGTACATTAAAGATTGCGCAGATGCTCGCTTCGGCAGCACATATACTAAGATTGAGCATGAAAATCAATAGAGGTTGCCAAGCAAGCACGAAAGCAATTGCAACCTCCATGGTATCCAGTGTTGTTAAACCCGAGACTCCATCCTTTCACACCTGTAACCATAAGGCGGAACTCTCAGGCAGTTGACAGATGAGGAAAAATCATGAGCCTGTTTCACAGGTGGGTTGTCTGTGTATGTGAGGAAAATAGGAAGCAGTTGCAGTAAACCACACTTGGGTGGCCTTAGAAAATGGTGGGAAGGATTAGGCAGAATTTCATACAGTACCTAGTCATACCTTCTCTGTGAAGTGGCCCAAGATAAGAATAAGGAAAAAACAATTTGAAGCTGGAGACAAGGTGATCTGATAAGAGTCATGTGAATAGATGTACTGATATAGGCACTAAGTGTGATTATCTTTGTGTAAATGCTAATGCTGACCAAAGAGCATCAATGAAAAAAGTATCACACAACCAAGTAACAGAATGACTCAGCCAGTTCACATTGGACACTGTTTCTTATTGGCCTTCTCAGTAGTACCGTGATGAGTACATAAAGTCCCCAAGGTGTTGGAATTGAAGATTATTCATGGGCCTAACAGCATTGGCTTTCTGGCCAAAGCTGATATAATCCACCTCACCTGCAACTGAGTGTCTAAACTACCAGCAAAAGTGACCAAAGCTAAGCTCCCAGGAAGGAGTGCAAATAGCCAAATTCACTATATTGGAACTCTCCCACTGGAATCATTCCCATTTCCCTTGAAAGAAGTAGTGGTTCATTTTCAAAAGAATAGACTCATTCCAGATATGGGTTTGCTATTCCTCCCTGTCAATCAGCAAGGACTTAATGAGTGTTTGTTCCACTGACCCAGGATACCATATAACATTTCAAATGGATTCCCTTTACTGCCAAGAAATGTAGGACTGCATTTTACAATGCAGAAATTGTAGTGAACACAGAGCCTACTTCTGGTGGAGCACTGGGACAGCCTGCTAAAGAAAGGCACAACCTACCTATTAGGTTTTCAGGTGCACACATGTGGGCAGGTACAGTGTGAAGATGGAGTGCTACATTTAGGATGCATTAAATTCAAGACCTTTATATGGCACTGTGTTCCTAATCAAAAGATAACATAGACCTGGAAGTCCAGGATTTGGAACAGGAGTTACCCCACTTCTACTAGTACTAGTGACCCATTAGGGAGGTTGGTCCTTTCCTGTCCTCCAAGGTTTAAATTGCAATGCTACAAATCCAGGCCCTCAAAGAGGACACTCACCAGGGAATGCACCAGTGCTCCACTGGACTACAAACTATGGATGAGATCTAGGAACTTTGGTGTCCTTGCATCTAGGGACCAGGAGGCAGAGAGTGGCTCCATTGTCTTGACAGTGGAGGAGGAAATAGGGTTGTTACATTCAGTATGTAATGGGGAAGGATATTTGTGGAAGACAGGTGATCCATGGTGGTGCATCTTGGTACCCTTTTCCCCAATTGTGACTGGGAAACTAGGGATCTAGTGTGCACTTGCCTTGCTTCTTGGATCCCAAATTTTGCCACCTGGCTGCAGGGGAGGGAGTATGATATGTGTATTGCTTGTTTTAAGCATGCACCATTAGATACCACCTCCAATCTGCGAGATGTGATTTCCAAGCAGATGCTGAAAGGCAACCTTCAGCTGGCCACTCTTATTGTTAGGGCAGTTGCTTGTAGCTAATAGGGTAAATGGTAGACCCAGTGAATTCTCAGTGTGAGCTCATTCCTGTGCTTTTTTCACTTTAAAGTGTACCTACCAGTGAGAGGCAGTGTTACATAAAACTATAGCAATGAATAGGCATTCTCTGAGTCCAAGAATGATGGTGCTGGTAAAGGTGCAGATAAGGAAG